CATATGTTAGATTTTCTATTGAAGAAGAAAATTACTCCTGTTCTTTTTCTGAATGGGTAAGGTCATCAGGAGGCAGCTTTCACCTGCCAGTCTTCTGAATCACAGGGTAGAGCTGGATTTTTTTTAAATCCACAAACCCTTTATTTTTTATTTTTTTTTCGTAAAATGTAAAAGATTTCCATGCACATTTCAGCATGAAAGGATATAACTCCCTATTCTTTGCACTGATTGCAGCAGTTATCAAAGAGAAACATCTGCTGGGGCACAAATACTGCAGAATAATCTTCTTTGGGTTAACATTCTCTATTTCCATAACGGATTTTTTTTTTACCAGATAGCTATAATAATTTTAAAGCAATCTAATGTACTGTGATTAAATACTATGATTAAATGAAGGAGAAAGTTAAGACCATACAGACCTCAAGGTTTCTGCAGCATCCACTCACTCTTGTATGTACAGGAAGGACTTGTTAGAGATGGAAAGAAATTGAAATTTTCAACAGAATCTTGACATATCAGAAAGATCACATATGACTGGATGTGCAGTAAATGTAGCTTTAAATTACACAACTAAACCACTCTGCATTGCATTGTATGCAGGTGAGTTATCCACATGAATTCCCATATTTGGCAGTGTCTATCAGGGTTTTTTCACTTTTAGCAGGTGAGGAGCAGAAGCACATAGAATAAAGAGGGTATGGCTGGGCCAGTTACAGTAAACCCTCCCCAAACAGAGCCACGAGGTCCCTGGGCCACAGGGATGTGGTTGCTTTCAGCCAGGCCAAGCTCCCCTGCACACAAGGACACCTGCACTCGTGCACTCCGGATTTTAGAGGGGCTGTTCAGGCTACAAAGACTGACCAATTTACCTGTCCAAAATCACCACTGCTCTGGTGGAAAGCCCAGAACAGCTTTGCAAAGTCACTTGTGAAGTTCTTTCCCTTCCTGTCAACTGGTGGTTCTCAGCAGCTGAACACTTCCCAAGGAAGAAGGCTCAATGTAAAGCACAATTATCCTTCACCATGTTCATCCTTTTTCTCCACTGACACTTACCCTGCCCTTTACTCACTGCCTTCCTCTCTGGCTGCACTATTTCAGTCATTGAAGCTGCTGTGACTTTCTCCTCTGCGCCCTAATTTGAAAGCCCTAACTGTGTCTTGATCTATGAAACTGTCGAGCTTTACAGGCACTTTTTATGTCCACCCACTTCTCCTGGTGTGCTCACCTTGATTTAGTGCAGTTTGCAGGTTTAAAAAAAAAAAAAAAAAAAAACAACTAATAGATGTGTTGCAGGAGGGAGGGAGCACAAACAGTACCAGTGCTTCTGGCAATATGGTCTTACACACAAAAGTGACTGAGGAAGCTGAGAGGGCTGGGGCAGAGCACTCCCACAAACAAGTGATTTACACAAGGAAAAAGTGCTGTACTCCCCACGGGACTGGCTTACACCAGCTTTAAACTGTTTGTGTAGAGACATTACATTGGCATGTTTCCCATCTGAAACAAAACACGAGAAAATAGAAAGCCACACACAGAGTGAAGTAACAAATTCAAACCAGCCTCCTTTGCCTGTTTCTATAGTAACCAGCTGCATTAAGTGCTTGGCAGAAATCTCAGACCTAGACTATATGAATTGTTTATGTAATCATATTTTACATGCAGACAGATCTCTGCCTTCATAAAGTCACTGTATCACAGGAGAGATGTGTGCTTTACTGCCTGCATTAGCAGGACAGATGGAATACATGGCACCACCATCAATACAGCAAGAGACTGAATTTTCACTCTGAATTTTTAACAGTTCTGGCACATTGTTACTCTATAGTGTGTCTGTTCTGGGACACCAAATGGAGCATTCTGTCCCTAGGGCTGTCAGTCAGGTATATCAGACAGCACTAAATTCACTTGTAAAACATCTAGGTGTTGTTTCTCTTACTGAGTAAATATTTTCCAAAATTACAACTATTTTTATACAACCAAAGAGTTTAGAGAAAAGACCTGTTAGAGGGATATCTGCAATCTGGAATGAAACCTTAGGAATGTCCTCAGAATGCCTAATAGTCAGTCAGCTATGCCTGATTGTCTGGGGAGATAATCTGAAAGATGAAGCCCCCTATGGACACTTTGTTTCCCCTTTAAAAATGTTGAATTTCTTGTTAAATGGACGATACTCAAAAGCTCTAGACCTCCCTGCTATAGTCTAAGAAGCCACAGAATAGGAAAGTTATAGCTATTTCCCTACGCCTGAAATGCAGCATTAATAACAGATTTTAAACACGGCATGTTACAAAGCAGCACATCTAATGAGAGCACAGCATTTCACCCCCTTACCCCCAGGATGTCATCAATACTCTCCAAAACACTATTTTCTTTGGATTTGAAAACACTGAAGCAAGAGAAGTTATGATGCTAGTCTGTGTTAATTCTAAGCCTGTTGTTAACTCAATTGAAAAGAAGGTCTCCCAAAAGAAAGGCATAAGTAGCAAAGTAAAAGCATGTACAGCATTCTGGGAAGATATGTCAGTTGTTCTGTTTTCATTTCTTCCTACTTTTGGCTGAAGCATTTCAGAATTTAGAATAGAGAATTATTCATAGCAGGCTAAGGTTTATTTTTAACTCTCCACATAATCTGACATTACAGTAATGGATTTAGAATAAATTTAAATTAAACTCTCTTAAGGCAGTCAGATAAGTTCCCTTTAAAACATTTTGTCTTCAAGAAAGTTCACCCTGCTATTTTATGTCTCTCAACATTTGGTGGCATAACTGGTTTCTAAGGCTTCTATTCCACTGTTCTTTTTTTCCTCACTTACTGACACACTTTCCAGGTTAGAAGCTTACTGACTATTAATGATCTTTTCTTCCTTACATTACTGGATGAGTTTTTCTCCATTATTTGTAGAGTTGTAGAAATGAAACAATCATTCATTCTAATGTAGCTTCTAAAACATTTTACTGGTGTTGCCCAAGACCTATGCTCTTAAACAGTTCAGGTATTTAATCATATTGCAATCACATCTTCAAAAAGCAACGTGCTAAGACAAGACTGCTGCTTTTGATAAAGAGCAGCAGCCAGCAGAGAAGAAAACAGAACAAACAATTTTATACAAAGTTTTGTAGAAACAGCTTTACTGCAGTAGCAAAAGTAAGGCAGTATGATCCTGTAAGATACAGTTCAAGTTAAAATGGCTCTCCAACCCATAATGGAATTATATTCTAAGTATCCAAAGATTACATGAACCACAATTCAAGGTGGATTTGGAAACAGCTTTCCACATTAGCTAATCCTGGAATTAGGCTGAGAATAGAAATGGTGGACTCCACCATAACAGAGAGGTCTCATGCATATTAATTGGTCTCATCAAGGTTCCTAGCACAGCTTTTTATGTGCTACAGTATATATTTATCAGTGAGGATGCTCTCTGTACCTTTACTGCAATTTCCCCATAAACATTAGAGAAGTCTCAGACAAGTTTTCCCACTAATATAGCAATAGAGTCAAAGAAAATTCTAAAACAGCACTACCAAAATAATTATTGGTTTGTTGAAATTACTCTCAGTCAGGGAAGGAAGATAAACACAGATGATGCTTAAATTGAAAACTGCAGAGTATCATCCTCAAACAGTAGAAATTATCAAAGTTACATTACATTGAAACAATGTAATTGATTTTTCATTAGGAGTAAAAATGCAAGTACCTCATATACTTAATGGAAAAAACAAAACCAATGCTCATCTGTGTGGGGGTTTTAGCAATTTCTTCATTGCTTTGAAAGAAATTGCAATTTGAAAAGTCCAAGAGATTAATTTATTGTATCACTTCACTATCCAGCAAAGAGCAAGGGTTAGCCTGGTATACATAGCCAAAAAGGCAGAATAACCCTAACCATAATGAAATGTCCATGCACAAATGGATACACTGAAATAGCAACTTAAATCTGGCTAATTCAGCTGATCTGAATTTAATTATTCTAATTAAAATCATCAAGCATCTATCTGCCATGAGACAATTAAGAGCTTATATTTTCATGTCCAAAAGAAAATGCAAAGCTTCACAACTGAAAAGCAATCTACTACTACATCATACAATGCCAAAAAGGAAAATATGATAATCTATTAAACCTGCCCCCAGGCGTGGAAATGGAACACAAGGCAGACATATCTGAACAGGGACACTCGAGGCAGTTGTGGTTTACAGTTTGTTTCCACCAAATCAGGGAGCAGAAGGGAACGACTTTAAAGACCAGGGAAGCAGTGAGATGCAAGACAAAGGCTTTCACAGCTCCTGTCATGGAGCAGGGCCAGCCAAGGGTGACACAGATGGTGAAGGGACAGGAGCCTCTCTGGTGAGGAAAGGCTGAGGGAATTGGGCCTGCTCAGCCTAGAGAAGACACCTCATCCCTGTCTGTCAGTGCCCAAAGGGAGGTGGCAGAGCACGGACCAGGCTCTCAGCAATGGAACAGGAGGCACAGGCAGGAACTGATGCCCAGGAAGTTCCACCTGAACATGAGGAAGGACTTTCCTGTGCAGTGACCAAGCACTGAACAGGCTGCCCACAGAGGGTGTGCAGTCTCCCTCACTGGGGACATTCCACAACAATTCCAGGACACAATCCTGGGCCACGAGCTCTGTGCTGGCCCTGCTGGAGCAGGGAGGTAGGACCAGATGAGCCACTGTGGGCCCTCCAACCTGACACATTCTGCCCTTTGGTGATAAAGCTGATTTTAAAAACAGAGACAAGACATTGTCTAGAGATCAGCCAGGCTGAAAATGAAATGCAAGGGAAAGAAGTGCTATGTGTGCATCACAAAGGCAGCTCACGCAGGAGATTTAAGGTGTGGAGAAGATGGACAGAAGAATCAAGTGAGTTTTTAGCCACAGTCCTTTAATAGGGATTACACTTGGGTAATAAAAGCATAACACCATAGCACAACTCTTGGTATGTGACCTAACTAATAACTGTACAAATCCTACTGCAATGGCAGCAGGAGTCAAGACAGTCAGAAAAAAAAGATACCAAAACTTCCTTTCCCATTCCATTTGAACTGATTGCCATCAACAGAAACAAACATTTCCTGTGACATCAAGTTGTCATCAGCTTCTGTAAATCCCAGTTCACTCAGTCTTTTCCTCTGTATCTGTTTCTTCTTTGCAGAAGTAGCCCCAAGTACATTTGCAATTTCAGAGTTGTTTTCAGTTTGTTCAGAAGTCTCAGCTCGTTTATAAAGCTCCAACTCATCAGTTACACATCCAGGTTGTTCTTGCCTGGAGTCCTCTGCACAGGCTGTCTTATCACCTGCCTGGGTAGGTTGTGTACACCCTGAGGCAGGAAACAGAATGTCATCAACAGTCATGCAAAGCAGCCACATCATTAAAAAATCCTCAAACTAATTTTCTTCAATCATAACATTGTCAACTCATCCCACTCTTTGGTACTTCATGTACTTCATGAGAGGCACAAATTTGAAAATTATGAAGTATGCAATCCAAAAACCTGGGCATACTAGACTGACTTAGTAGTTTTGTGAGTTTCTTCTAAGCAAAGAAAAGTACCTTTTGTTCCCTGTGCTGAAGCATCCTTCATTTCAGAGGGCATCGCTGGTCTAACCAGGACCACACCATATCCTTCGTTATTGTGGATCATATTATTAACCATGGTTATCCTGGGAACCTCATAATCTTCATCTAAGAAGTTCTACAGAACAGAAGAGAAATCTAACATGTCACATCCAGCTTCAGGGACACAAAAATCTTCTAGTTTTAGGTAGAATCAGTTCTCTGTATTAGCTAGAGCAGGATTATTTACCAACACAGGAGACATTACGAAAGGCATTTTCTCCTTCTGGCAGATAAGAAATAAAACCAGGTAATTGCTGGAATTAATAAAAATGAAAATATCATACTGCAAAGCTGTCTGTCTGTAGGAGGGGTTTGTCTTTGCAGAACTGGTTCATCCAGCAAGGATCAAGGCAAGTGCCAGGCAAGCATCATGTGCAACAGGTCAGAGTTCCAGCACAGCACAGCAGGGCTCTGGGCCAACCCAAACCTGCTGGCACTAATTGTAGCAGTGATTAGCTTTTGGCAAACCAGTACCTTGTGACTGGGACTGACCTTGACCAGAATTCCCTCCTTGCAGTGGTGGATCCCATTGTGCAGCAGGGTGCACGCACTTCCTGGATAGATCTCCACACCAGCACCCTACAAGACACAGTTGGCAGCAGTTCACAAGTAGTTTAGGCACATTTTTACCCTACAAGATACAGTTGGGTAGTAGTTTAGGCACATTTACCACTGAACTTGACCAATCCATGGCACATCTTTGTGTTCACCTACCAGTTTGCACAATGCAAAACCGTGTTACCCCTCCAGCTGCACAGCTCTGTTACCCATCTCAAGCAGCAGTACCCAAGGCTGAGGCCCCACAGCATGGGACAGCAGTCCATGAAGGCCTGCTGAAGAGCAGCTGAACAGCCTTGCCTTACTTGCTTTGTGCTTTAGTCATCCCACTCAATACCAAAACTCCATCATTCTTCAAAATACCCAAAGAGTATCAGAGGCATTTTTGTGTTTATCACCCCTCTGTAAGAATCAAAGGTGTCCAAAAAGGGCATTTCACTTGCAGAAACAGAAATGAGAAAACTAGCTATGGGCAGAGAGACCAGAAAATAGTGCAGAAATACTGCAGGACATGAACCAGCCATGCAGCAATGATTATTTCACAGATGTCCCCTGTTACTGCATCACTTTGCTATCATCACACACAAATCAGCCTGAGACACTTCACTAGATTTGACTCCATCATTCTTCAAAATACCCAAAGAGTATCAGAGGCATTTTTGTGTTTATCACCCCTCTGTAAGAATCAAAGGTGTCCAAAAAGGGCACCTTTTTCACTTGCAGAAACAGAAATGAGAAAACTAGCTATGGGCAGAGAGACCAGAAAATAGTGCAGAAATACTGCAGGACATGAACCAGCCATGCAGCAATGATTATTTCACAGATGTCCCCTGTTACTGCATCACTTTGCTATCATCACACACAAATCAGCCTGAGACACTTCACTAGATTTGATAAGAGGCTACAAGACCCCTGGGACCAATCTTGATTCATTAACACGTAGCTGTCCAAAAAGAATTTGTAAAGGTTCTCTCCAGGGCAACAGAAGTCACCCTGTGAGTGACTGCACTATTTCCAGAGATAAACCTTTATTTTAAATTAGGAAATAAGCCCAAGTTAAGAATGAGTGTGTACCTTTGCCCCATAGAGATCTGAGTTTCTCATCAGTAGCTCAGCTGATGTCCTCACTGTTATTCCAGTGGTTTCACACTGTAACACACAATTCTCCAGTGTGGTTTTCCCATGATGGACATCTACATACACAGAAACAATTACTGCTGGATGAACCGGTTCTGCAAAGACAAACCCCTCCTACAGACAGCCTTGCAGCAGCTTTGCAGTGTGATATTTTCATTTTGTCCACTTCAGGTTCAATTCACTGATTTGCTCATGTGTGGTTTGCACCCATGCTGCTTTTCTGGTCCAAGCAGGGACACTGCTACAAGGGAGCACTGGTTGGAGATTTGTCTTACAGGTTGATGTCTTTATTTATAACAGCAATAATTCTTTTTGTTACATTCCTAAGAGACTTTTGGATTCAAAAGATATTAAATACATGCATACAAGTGTTAATAAACATTTTAACATGTTTAAAACCCAAACATCCGTTGAGGAGAAATACCAGTTAGCATCTTCTGCAAAGAAAAGGCCACAGCCAATAAACACCTTGGATACAACTCAGATTTAGCTGAGTGTCAGTTTGAAGGTGCTGGAAACAAAGTTCTACAGCACTCCTACAGCATGTGCTGCTCCTCACTGAAGCAATGACTGGGGTCAGCTACAGCTGAATATTGCCATAGGGGCTCTTCTGTGAAAAGAAGAATTGTTTCCATTTCCAGGCAGCCTGACACAGGCTGTGCTGCACTCAGTCAGGCTGCCTTAACAGCAGAACAAGATCAAGTTAATGATCTTATCCCAGTAGAAGAATAAAGTATAAGAGCCACAATAGTTTGAATGAACAAACAGAAGTTATTGTGATTTCCACATTATAAGCAAGTTAAAAAAAAAGAGGGGAAAGACTCAATATATATACCTGTAGGGCTCTTCTTTACAATATTTTGTTCAAGTGCAACACTGGGTCCCAGCTTTAATTCTAACACTAATTATGAAAGAGTCACAAAAAAGTCAAGATGCTTTTACACTTACTTAAAATCCCCTCCACAGCATCATGCTGCACTAACTTCAAATTGGAGATCTTTATATTGGCTCCTGTACAGTCAAAGAAGTTGTCTCCTTTCCCTTGTTTTTCTATCACGACATCATCTGGCAGGCCATAGCCTAAGGGCAGAGGTGAGAGATGCAAGCTCAGAGAATGAATATCTGGTGACAATGAGGTGCTCAGTACAGAACAGACATTTAAATCAAGGACAAAAGTTTAAATCGTGATGTTTTAATGCCTTGAATAGGATTTTCAACAACTGGCCAGGCTACACCTTACACCTCTGTGCCAAGGTACAGGGACTCCAAACTGAACTCAAAAGTTACCTTACTTGAATGGCACACAACAAAATGCAAAGTTATCTGAGAAAGTTGAACAAATGGGTAACTGAGCTCACATATGCCAAGGCCAAAGTTCTGACTCCCAACAGTTACCAACAGAGCAGCAGGATGCAGGAATTGAGCATACACAGGCATCTCCAGCCTGCTCTCAAAGGACAGAAGTTCACTACAGCAGGCAGAGATTCCCCAGAACACAGAGGGAAAAAGCAGTCTCACCACAACACAAGGAAAAAAAAGTGCAAAGGGCTTGATATTGTTAGCATGCTTCATTCAGCTTGCCTATTTCCATGGAATTTGGGGGGAAATTCAGTGCTCCTGTGTTGCACAGGCTTCCAGATTAATTCAGTTTAAAAAGCAGCTTTCACAAGCACATGACAACATTGATTTACTAAACCATCCATAGTTGTCAGCATTTAAGCACTTACAGGAAAATTTATGAGCATGTAAAGCTTTTATTGCTTGTCACTGACAAGAATCATGATAAGGAAAGCAATAATGCCACATCCATTACAGCAGCATGAGTCCTATCATTTTCTGAAAGCACACACAGATAAGAAGTGCCCGAGAAGGATGCCAGCTTCTAACCAAGTACATAAATAAATAAATAGTGCCACATGCAAGTAGAAAGGTTAAAACAAAATGAAAATAAAAAGCTTTGAACAAGAGTTGACAGAAAGTTTTAAAGACAGGCCATTTAATGCAAAGTTAAGTGACTGATACTTCAACACATGATATTACCTAGAAATCTGTTCCCACTGCCACTGATTTATGGTCACCCCTGGAGAGGAGGTGGCATGGGGCAGTCCCAGCATGTAAAAAGAGAGCACCACAGGACAGCAAAAGTTTAACTTCTCACCACTACAGAAAGATGGTATTACCCAAAGGAAGGCTTTTAGGAATAAATGTCCTGCAGAGTGCCTGCAGTTTTCTAACAGTGCCTTTAGCTTGCTTTACACTTCACTTCTGAAGCAGCAGCTCTAGAATGAAGATTCACCTGCTGCCCAGTGCTACTCACTCCCCAGCAGGGCTGTGCCCCTGCCTGGGGGGCTCCACAGCAGCCAAAGGCCACTGTCACCCACTGCCACTGAGCACAGATGATGCTGTAGGCTCCCAGCCAGCTGCAACAGCTATGGCACAAGCAGAGGGGAATTCTCAGGTGCCTCTGCAACACCACCTTGTCAGGCATGGAAGTTATCTTTATCATGACTTCCTGCAGCTGCTACTGCTTTAACCTTATTTAGTTCCTGTTTTTTATTTTATAAGTTTTTATTTATCCCTGATTTACTAATCTTCATACTTTCAACCTCAGTACTGACTGCACAGTAGCTGGGAAAAAACAGAAGCTCTACTAAGCAAAGTGACATATCTTTCATGAGTCATGCCTCCATCCCAAAAAAGCCACCAAAGCAGCCAGCTGCTCAGATTAGTGCCAGCAAAGTTTGTCTTGATGCTCCTACTTCAAATATTCCTGGCTGCTCCTACTGGTATAATCCCTTATATAAAACAGGAGTCCTTATTAAGAAGATTAAATACCTGACAAGTACTTGTTATTCAGAGCATGGCTTTTACTAAAAATACATATTTATATGCCTTGCTTCTTAAAATAGAGCAACTCATCCTTTAATGTGTGCTACTGCACCACTTTTATTTCAGTTTTCTCAAAGCAAGAAAAGCAATAAATAGCACCACACACAATTTTAGAACAATGTCATTCTTGAGATAAATAAAGCACTTTATCAATGCCCCTTGTCCTGCAGGTGCACTGGTTATCACAACGTGTGTCTGTATAAATCAAACACACACAGGAGATGGGGAAGAAAGAAAATGACTCATAAAACAAGAAGGGCAAGAAAAATAAAGTCCAGAACAACAGGAAATTAAACTCTCTGCCTTCTTCTCATTAAGAAGCTTTGACAAAATAAAAATGCAGCTAAATAAGTATCTGAACAGCTGCAGAAGCCCCAGTGATAAACAGACTATAGCACTGCAACAGTGTGTGCCTGCCTGAAGCAAAGGGATACACTGAGAAATCAAGAATGGTGAGGGAGAGACAGCAACATATCCTAGGCAAAGCAGAAGCATTTAAAACACAAATATTTTGCAAGAAAAATCCTAAAATCACATCTGTTGTGTATTTTTCTGCAGAAAAAAAAAAGTGCTAATCAAAAGTTCCCTCCTCCACCCACGTGCTTCATTCACTGCAGAGCCAGTGTGTGCCAGAGCCACTGGCAGTCCCTGCTCCCCATCACTCACATGGACATGCTCCAAGTGCCATCAGTAAATCCTAACAGCAGCTCCTGGCTCCTGCCCCCTGAACTCCTGGAGCTGCACCAGCACTGGGGCTCAGAGGCTGCCCCTGAGGGACATTCAGACAGAGAAGAACAAGGACATTTCTCAAGTACTCCTAAGTTAGTAGAAGCATCTCAGAATTACTTCTGTTTCCACTATTACAACCATCAAGTCCCTTAGGTTTCTATTGAATCCTCTCTATTACCTATTTAATCACCATTTATGCAGACAAATAGGAGGAAATTATGAATTTGCTATTAATCAGCAAAATCTGCAGTTTATCTGCACAGTGGCTAATTAAACAGCTCACTCCACCCTGCACTAGGCACAGCTCTACAACAGAAACAGGAACACTTGGAAGAAAAAAGCTCCTGGTAAACTCTGCAAAGAGTACATCCTTACACAGAGCTAGTTTAAGACATTCCATTTACTTGTTTAAGGACCTTTAGACTAGCAAACCTGCTACCTTCTAGCTCTATTGAATCAGCAATGGAGAACATGCCATCCACAAAATAATGGCCAGGACAGATGATGACCCTGTCTCCTTCATAACAGGCATTTACAGCTGATAGTGGATCACGGTGAAACTGCAAAAGACAAAAAAATACAATCAGCTCCCAAAGAATGCTGTAAAAATGGATGCATTTATGCCTGTAGAGCTTGCTTTTCAATTAAATGTTGCTGCTTTTGCTTTAAAGAAACCCCTTCAATTGCACTAATAATACAAAATTTCTACCTTGAATTCAAGAATTGTAGCCCTCTGCAGACAAAACTAGCCTTTAACATATGACTTTGATGTTTGTGTCACACCCATTGACCCCAGGAGAAAAGTGGGGCACACACAGATATAAGAGCACATGCACCCCAAAGCAAACTTCACTATGGCCTTCGTTCCAGGCCAACACTTCAATTGTGCCTAAGTGATTTGCCATGAATTTGCCATGAAGAAATAGATGACAGAAGGTAAAGAAAACAAAAACCAAACAATTCAGCAAGTAGATAAGAGCTAGTCTGAATACTTCTGTGTTCGCTCCTGGTACAAGTCACCCCCAAACAGAGTTCAAACACCACAGTGGTAAATAGTGTCCATATGACACTATTTTTCCTTGATAAAGAGGGCAGGCTGATATCCTTAACAAACATTACTGAGAGATTCAATACTGAAGGATTACAAATAGTAAATAAAAACTACACATTTATTGCTTCCCAGAAAATTCCAGGGTAAGCAAAAGAGCACTTTTTCCAGTTGCCAGGTCAGAAAATCAGATTTATAGCCTAAAAGTTACTCCAGGACCTTCTCCATAGCTCCATTCTGGCAATCTGTAATTCACTAACACAATCATAGTGCAAAAAACCATTTCATTTGGGTCTAAGGAATTCAGCCTCTTCTTAACTGCTGAAGTGCAAAGCCTTGTCTGAATTCACTAAAACGGAACATGGCTGCTCCTAAAATAAATCTATTTTCTATGTAGTACCAAAGCAAGAAAACTATGCTTCCTCCTTCAAACCCTACGTCATTATCATCAGCATCAAGAGACATGGGCATTTTAGAACTAAATTCAAGTGTCATGCCTTACAGTGTTTCATTGTAGAATTATTACAGGTTCATCTCATTTCCCACACACAGGAAGCTGCTTGTACAGAGTACTCAACAGGCACAAACAAATTAAAAGAAATTATTTGACTCATATAAATTTACCATTTATTGTTTAAATTACAGTGATATTTTTTGAACTGACAAAACAATCCCACCAGTGTAGTATCTTGCACGTGGTAAGTTAACTTATCCTTCCACATTGTTTCTTGAGAGGAAAAACTATTAGTAGACAGACAATTCCTGCTACTGCACCTGTATTTCTAAGGCTCCACAAGATTCTGGGCAAAGTTTGTCTCTTGTCAACAGCTGGAGCAGATTTGCTTTCATGGTCCAGGGCACAACATGAATGACCTTGGCACCCGTTGATCTCAGTCCTTTAGCCTGGAGGCTGCCATATTTTTGGTAACCAAACACATACCTGCAACAAAAGCAACAGAGCCAACAGCTCTTCCTCCAGTCCCCACCTCCTCTGAGTTCTGTGATTCCCCTTGGGAGCCTCCTCCCTGCACAAACCCCCCTCTTACCTCAGCAGAGGATTCTCAATTAGTTTTAGCCTTTGTTTTAAGTGCTCCACTTGGTCATACAATTTTAGTCCTTCCACCATGGAAACATTTTCTGCTTCTGAGTCCGAATCATTGCTTGATATGCTGTTCCTCACATTTAAAAACTTCTCATAGAGCTCTTCACATTGAGATAACAAGTTCTGGTAATCAGCTACCAGCCCAGAAGGCACCCGGTGTTCCAGGATGTCATAGTGCCTGCAATTCAGAGCAAGGGGTCAGCACATGGCACATTCACAGTCCTCAAAGACCAAACATGAGACTGGAGAGAACCCGAGAGTTCTGCATCAGTTACTTGAGTCAAGGTTCTCTGCAGTCTACATCAACACTACTCCATTTTATTTGAAGCAGCAAAACCAGAAAAATCGGAACAGACACAAATATTTTACTTTCTAAACAGCTGCCCACCCACCTTGAAAGACTCTACTATCAGAAACTCATCCTAAAAGAAAGGCATAAGCACAGCCATAAAAAAACAGTAACAATTTAGAAGGTAATGTCTAAGCCTTTATTAGAATAACTGAGAAAGAGTCACACACATTCTTCCTGGAGAATGATCAATTGACAAGTTTTTGTTTACATTCAGCTCTGTGGTGGTTTTTATTTTATGCCCAGAGGCAAAAAAATAGAGCATCCCATGGCAGCTATTATTAGGATTAAACTCATATGAGTGTGAGGGTGAGTATTGCTGGGTTTGGGGCACCATCTAAGGGAACACCAAGGCTCAGAAAACAAGTGGCAGCCTCAGTTGTGATCTCTTTCTGTACAAGATTTTGACCAGCAGACAGTGAATGCTGTTAGAACAAACTTGCTTTGGCTTACAAGTCAACAGGGGCTTTTTACACCTAATTGTGTGTCACTCTTCCCACATGACCGTTCCAGTGGCTCTGCCCTAAGAACAGCAAAGGGGTTGCACTCACAGTCTCAGTCGGGGCTCAACACATCGCACAAAGTAATCAAACTCATCCTCCTCCTCCTCGTCCCAGGTCCTCCAGATGCAACGGTAGAAGAACCTTTGGAAGCAAAGTGTTAAATCACCCAGGAGAGCAGAGTCAACAGCACTGGAAACACAATGTAACCAATTTGAGAATCCACCCCTCTCTAGAAATTCATATTACTGTCGCTTAGGCTGCTCAGTACCCACAAAGTCATCCTTCCTGCCTGTTGCTTACCTGCATTAAGAGTTTGATTTTGTGTGTCTAAGCTCAAAATTCATAATAACCTGTATTGTACTCTCTCAAAAGGGAGTGAACAGTCAAAACCTGGTTTTGAAAAGCAAGACTGACACTGCTCAGATTCAGAGGCTTTCTGGTTGTTTGGTTTTGGCCAATCACCCTTCAGCTAAGCTTTCTTTCTGACAATGTAGGTCATTCCTCCTATTTTAGCTTTTTTTGTCCAGTCCTACATCCTATTTGTGGAGAGGTTTCAAACAGCATGTAGTGCCTGAAAGAAGAGGTGGAAAAGAGATGATAAAGAAGAAAAAAACACACTATGTGAAGAGATACCTAAAGAATAAAGAGCAAATTTAGGGGACGAGGCAAAATGCAGAAAGAAGAATGGGACAAGAAAAAGAGAAAAATCCACCAAAATGTTATTGAAGAGAAAGAACAGTGTACTAGTCCACAGGTGATACAGTCCAAGGAACTCTGGGGTGAAAGAGAGGGAAAGCAGTCTCCTCAGAGCACCAGTCCTCAGATTTACTTTGGAAAGTCTGGCTTGTGGAGCTGCCAGCAAGGCCCAAGAATTCAGGACAGAACCCACTGGGAAGCAGCAGGGTGCAGTTGTCCTACCTGACATGCTCTATGGCTAGTGCTGTCTGGTCAAACTCTCCTGACTCATCATACACAACCCAGAGCTCCTGCAGCAGGACCTGATGTTCCTTCAGCTCCAGGAGCTCCTGCATGCACTCCAGGGTAAAGCTGCTGTCCTGGGACTCGCACAGGAACGGCTCACTGAGCTGCACAACCGCCTTCAGGGCCGGGAAATTCACGTCAACCACCTGTGGGAACAAACAGCTCTGAAATCCCTCAGACCCACCTGAGGGAGGGGAACTTCACATGGCTCAGTCAGGGCCATGCTGGGTCCCCACTGTCCCCACAAACCAGCACCAATGGCACCATACAGCCAAGGCCATCTCATCAGCTGAAGCAGGAACCCAAGTTAAGCTCCTCACAACCCCACAGCTAGAGAGCCTTTTCCACGTCCAAAACTTCATTCAAATCCCTCATAATACTCGTAACAAGGCCAGTAAGTTGCTTCCACCCCTCCCTTTTTTTTTTGTGTTGACATTTTTAAAAAATAGCAAAAATAATATCCTCAGACTCAAACAAATCAATACTTCACAGCCCTTTGGAACTCCTTTAAGGCTCATTTTTCAAAGTGCCCACAGGATACAAACAATCCAAAGAGATAGTCTGGGCCAGTGAAAGACATTTTGTTACTAACAGGGCAAAAAACAGCCAAGGAGCCGCAAAATTTTTCCCTCCTCAACCACGTGATGGAACTGCAAGTTTGAACATCCAAGGTTTGCAACACAGACATATGACCTGGACATTGAGAGACTTAGAAAAGTCTGTTAGAGAGGTAAATTATGTTAAGTGGAGACAAATGCCTGAGCAGCAGGGACCCACTCACCCCAACGAGGACCTCAAACACGTTAGTGCGCCAGATGGCCTGCCAGCCAGAGGGCTCCAGGACCTTCTCCAGGTACTCAGCTATGAACCGCTTCACCTCAGAGGCTTTGCAGTCAGCTACAAGAAATGGAAGACACAACATTTATGCAAGGAATGGAAGGAAACTCCTCCACATCATTGGAAAATGAAAGTCAACACAATTGAAATGTTCCTCTACCACCTCAAAAGTTGGGTTTCATTCTATCATGCTCATGAAAGCAAAATAGTATTAAATAAATGATAATACAATGGTATTAAACACATAACCTGTGCTTTATATTAAACAGATTTACAATACACAACAAAAAAAAAAAAAAAAGAAATTTAGGATGACCAGCTAAAATAGGGCACAGGATCCACTCCTTACAAACAGTTCTGCCTTTCCATCATTCATATTTTATTTACTGATATCAAAATTACTGCCTCCTGGTCCACCAGCTAGAGCGGCTGAGGTTACAGCATAAGTAGGCAGGACACTGTATCTTTTCCAGCCCCCATTATTAAAAGCATTTCACAGTTTAATATATACAACTGACTTCGCTTAATCTAAATTGTTTAAAGTTACTACAAGAATACTAACGCTACCTTACTTTCACATGAAAAAATTACTTACCCAAGATGTAATCCTGGTAGGCGCTGAATCGCTCGTAAAACAAAAGATGATTGGTGTGAAAAATATCCGGGAAAAGCACGTTCCCGTCTGGCACAGTCCTGCCCAAAGTAGTCCCTGGTTTGTCACGACTGCCATAGTCACTCCAGGAGTCAGCACTCCAGTCACTCTCGGCATCTTCCCGTTGCCGATCTGGGAAGAGGAGGGGAGTAAAGCAAAGCCCACAAACTGTCACATCAACCACCCACTCCTCTGTTCTCAAAAAACTGCTCAGCCCAACTCCATCATGATCCTGCCTTCTGCAGCACGCCTTAACTTACCCTTGGTGAAGCGTTTCAAACCCACAGACGTTCCTGGCCGCCCATTTCAGCGCCATGGTAGGCACTCAGAAACCAGATCTTCACGATTAATGGGAAAACAACTCCACCACATTTTAGAGTTGGTTTCCAGAGCCAGCCCTACCCTCGTTTCCAGCCCGGTGCCCATGCCCCGAGCCGGGGACCGGCCGGTGCGAGGATCGTCCAACCAAGCGGGCGTTCCCCTGCCCGGAGCGCGGCCCGCGGGGGATCCGAGCCCCGGCGGAGCAGCCCGGGCAGCACGGCCTGACCTGGCCGCCCCTCCCGTCCACACCACGCAGCTCATTCCTCGGGCACCGCCCGAGCGCGGGGCACAGCCTGCCCTGCCCGCCCGGCTCCCCGCGCCCTCCCTGCCCGCAGGCGCAGGCACACTCAGCCCGTACCCTCGGCCTGCTCGGGACGCTCCCGCGGGCCGGCAGCGGCGGCAGCAGCAGCAGCACCCGCGGCGGGCGAATCCCGGCCGTCCCCCTGCGGTCCCGGCGGCCGCGGCTCCGCCATTCCGCCCGCTCGGCTTCAAACCGCCCGGGCAACTGCCGGCGCCAGCGCCGCGCCCTCATTGGCTCGCGGCGGCAGCGCCCCACTCTGATTGGCCGTCGGCAGGCAGCGCCCCTCTCTGATTGGCTGTCGGCAGCGGCGGCCGTTGGCGCGCGGGTCTCTCCGCAGCCGCCGCTGGCCCCGTGCGTGGCGGGGCTCGCTCCGGGGCCGGGCGGGAGCGGCGCGGAGCGGGGGAACCTCCCCCTGCGGCACAACCGAACCACGAGCCGCTGCGGCCCCGCAGGCAACCGGCGGCCCTGCCTGCGGGGACGGGCGTTCCACACTCCGCCTGGCGCCCAGGGGTGCTGCCACCCCTGCCGAGAGCGGATGCACAGCGCCCGGAGAGAAGGAGCGGCCAAGCCGCAAAAATTGTAAAAGCATCCAACAATCAGCACCCTCAAAAAAAACAAAAACAAAAAAAAAAAAAAAATCAACAACAAATAAACGAACCCCAGCCCACAACTAAAAGAACGGAATTCTCTGGAGCGCCGGCCAGCCCCGCTTTGCCTCCAGCCCTGGTGTGTTCGTGCACAGAAAGCACCGGATCAGAATGTAAAACACCGGCCTGTTCCGTGCCCGGCGCTTCTCCCGAGGCCACCCGGCGCCTTTCGAGCTGTGACGGTAAGGGCCGGTGGGGACTGAAGGCAAAGCAATTGCTCGGGAACAGCAGCGGCCACGAGAGGGCTGCCGTGGATTTCCGACACGGCGGTGGAGCCGCTCCTCTCCCCGAGCCACTCCCCGCCCGCCTCCCGAGCGCCGCCGTCCCGCGGCACCGTGCCTGCCCCGAGCCGCTCCCCGCGCCCTCCGGAGCGCCGCCGTCCCGCCCCAGCAGCACCGCGCACGGGCACAGCACGGCACAGCCCGAGTCATCCCGGCACCACCCGAGCAGGAGTTTCCATAGGCCTGCTGAAACCAGCCCTTGCCCATCATAACCCCAAGAAGAGAACGGTATAGTCCCCAAGAGGTTTCTGTTGAATGTCGTCAGAATTTAACCATTATGGGTGTTTAACCATACACATATAGTTGTCATCTATCACAATTAGTTACAAAATTACAGTTAAACATCTGAACCCCTCCCAAAAGCTTATTGGAAAGGCCAGGCTTTCAGAGCAGAGTGTGTTTGTAAATCATGTGTCTTTAAATTGGCACGTTTTAAGTACTTAAGTGGAGGGAAGGGATGCCATCCGGTGGGATTTTCACAGGTTGAAAGGGGCCTCTTGGCCAACTTCATGCATTTGAACGAAGCCAAGCGCGAGGTTCTGCACAGATACAGGCTGGACTGAGACTATTCCTGGGGAGAAAAACTTGGTAGTGTTGGTGGATGAGTAACCATACAGCCATAAACTTATGGCTATGGAGGTTCCCATATTTACACGTTTCGATTATTTTTCCTCTAAAAAGGTACCGTGAATTCAGGGACTCCTCAGGGCTTACAGTGGGAAGATCAGTTCTTCCTCACCAAGGTGAAACACTGGCACAATGTTGAGATCAGGACAACCCATTTACCCCTATTTGTTTTGTTTACAAAATAGCAGGGGGCAGATTGTGTTCCATTATATAAGACTTACACACTGTTCAGCTAATTATCCCAAATCCTTGTAAAGAGCTGTTTTACTTCAAAGGAATACAGCCCTGGCCCCTTATTTCCAGAGCCAGTGATTGCTGCTCCAAGTGTCATGGACATACTAAGCTCCATTTGGTCAAAAAACTCCTCTGCAGTTGGTTTCCTTCCCCTTATATTTGAAATAGAAACAGTCCTCTTATTGTTGGAAACCTTCCACTTTTCAGCTTGCATGTGCATGCAGAGTGCAGACCATCAGTTATTTTCCTGAACTCAGTTATTTTTCTCCCTACAATGTTTATCCATCCAGTTTATTATTGAACATGAATTTGTGCTTTGCTTTCCTGAACCTCATCTGGCAACTCAAAGTCTCCTTTTGCACAGCACTCTTGCCTTTTACCTCAGCTACTCTTTTTTGCACTCTTGTTTTTTTGTTTTTTTGTTTTTTTTTTTTTCCCCTGTGTAAGACTGACCAGGTCTGGGTGAAGTCCAGGGGACTGGCAGTGTTTCACATGGAACAATGACACTCCTGAGTTTGAGAGGAGGAAGAGAAAGAGCTTGCTCTCATACTCTGCTCTCAGTTCTCACACTTTTGAATGAAATCTCACTGCTGTTGCTCCTGTGAATGAGATGGATCACTGAGATGTTTCTAAAACCCCTAGCCTTATCTTAGGCCCCAAATAGATTTTTTTCACCTGCTCTTTCCCTTGAAATACTGAAAGAGCAAGGGGTGCTCATATGCAGAACTCTGTCTTTTGAAATCTGAAATAGGCCTCCACTTCAAAACTTGACATAGCAAATAGAGTTTGAAAATCACAAAGGTCATTAATTGCTTTACAGAAATTAACACAAGTGCAGCTATATAAACCTAAGGAAATGCAGAGAGGAACTAGTGTCTTACTACTAAAAGATCATTAATTGTCTTTTGGTATTTCAATAATTTTAACTGAAGAAACACAATGGTAAAACAAACCCCACAAGTGGGATTTGGCTCACCTGGGTGTTCCCAGACATGTCACAGATCACAGTAGTTCCAGTGCAGCTGCCACAAAGGCATCAGTGAGGCTGTGCTGGCTCAAAGCCTGGTGCTAACACACCCCACTGGGTAAGAGGAGCCTCAGCTCCCCACGGTGCAGCTCTGGTGGCTCCAGTAATTACAGGTAAGTTATTACAGCCAACAGGGCCAGGATATCCCTGCCTTCCACATGTGTGCTTATGAAAACCCACCCATCTACAGGAGTACATGTAGGATAACAAACTCACTGGGTCACTCTCAACCAGACCTTCATTGTGCCACTGATCTCCCTGGAGCAACGTCTGTTCATGCCAACTGAAAATCTGATCCAGAGTTGAAAACCTGAAGAAAAATAGTAGAGTGTTTTAGCCAGTGTCCTTATCCAAAATTTAAAAACAAGAAAAAAAAAATCTCTTCATTCTAATTTGCTGCTGGTACTGATTCTCTTTTGTGGGCATACACATATCTCATTTGAGAGTAGAAACTACTTGCTTTAAGATGTCTTAGAATAGTGTCTTCTTAACCATGTCTCAGTACAAGGCAACCTTAACCTACAAATCAAATCAAAAGATCAAATTATTTAATTACACACAATGAAAAAAATTGTTAGTTAATATAAGGCTTGCAAATCAGAAAATGTCTATGAAATGTGGGGAATAAGCAGCTGAGCCAAGCCAGCCGAGATGTGACAGTGATGGGAAAGAAACAAGTATGCACAAAAGAAAAAAATTTAGAAGGAGACCACACATAAGACAGTAAAACATTCCTGTGTACCTTTCTCGTTTTGGCACACATTTTCTTTGTTGCCATGGCAATCACTGTAGTCTTTCTAAGCCTCTGTTTCTGCACTGTAAAATGCAGATAATATTTTTTACTGCCTATGTTTCAGTAATGCAATTGCAAAGCACTTTTATGGCAGGGGATGAATGGTGTCACATAACTGCAGATTGCTGTTAATTAGTTGGCTTATTACAGATTGGGTTAGATAACTGGTATTCTTTGACAGGTATCTCTTCAGTCTTTAGATTTTCTTTTGTAGCAGTATAAACTTAAACCACTGCAAACCTAAATGCATTAATTCTTACCAGAAAAGCAACTGAATTTTTCAAACCTGTTCTCAATTCTTTTTAGAATCTTCTCAATATTGGCTTCTTCAGGAAGATACTGGGTGGCTTTAGGATTGTGCTAATAGCCACTTTATATTTAAAAACCCCCAATAACTGCATTGCTTATTTGGATTTTCATGTTAATAGACCATTTTTCTCTTGCAATTTACTGCTTCCAAAATTCTTGTGTCCTCCTATCAAGGAGGTGGTAAAAGAGATTTTAGCCTTTTGCTCATTGAAGAGGATACTGCAGTTCTGTTTTCAAGATCCACTGAAGAGCAAAGGAACATTCTAGGAGACCCTGCTTTGAGCAGGGAGATTGGGTGAATGACCTCCAGTGGTCCCTTCCAACCTTACCCATTCTGTGATTCTGTGAGAATGCTTCAGCAGAACTGGGTGCAGCTAAGAACTGATCTATTATAGGTGGGGGGTTATCTTTTCCTCTTTTTCCTTCCCATTATTTTACATAAATTGAGACATATCTGCAGCTCAGCCATGCTCTCACCTGAGGGAACTTTCAATCTAGACATTGATTCACATAGGACTCTACATAATAATGGAAATTCAAGTTCATGCAGAGTGCTTGACTAAGACTCACCTGCAACAGAAGAGCTATTGATCATGTTCCCTTGGGCCTGTGAAGGGCCCTTCTTCAGATACTCATCTCTCTGGGGAAAGGCCTTAGAAGAGCCAGGAAGCTCTTTTTGAGATGCCTCAAAATTGTCAGGAGCACCAGAGGCATAAAACAAGGCTCCTGCAGTTCCTCAACTGGCTGCAGAGTACAACAGGAACACAGCCCACAACAAAATGTTCTCTTTGTTTGGAGAGAAACAATAGGCAGGCAGATTTTTCCAACAGATGTTAAAATTGAAATTAAGAATTGATGGGAATAAATAGAGACTTTAGGCAAAACCAGAAACTGTAAACAGGCTTCAGCTTTATGACTAATGCTGTGAGATTCATATATCAGGCATTTAGCACTGTATAACACAGTGAATGCTGGTTTTTGCCTTATTACTGTCAAAATTTTCACTGGCATCATTGCCATTACTGACTCTTCAACTTCCTGCCCCTCTAGAGCTGCTGACCACATCTTTGAAAGAATAGTGATTAAAAGTAAAGCTGAAATCATGATAACACCAGATGCAGAATGCAGCAAATTGTTAGGCACAATTATGTCAGGAAGAAGGCATGATTGAAGAGAATGAAAATCATTTGCACTAGTGATTTTGCGTGATCATTGCACCTCTTCATTCACTGTAAACAAAACAAAATTAAATTTACTAAT